CACTATGGAGTTGAGACTGACCTGGAACTCACTATGTGGCCCAGGCTGGTCTCGAACTCAGAGCGATCCTCCTGCCTCAGCCTCCCGAGTGCTGGGATTACAGGCATGCGCCACCACGCCCAGCTATTCACCTACTTTTGATCACACCTCATACATGTGGTCTGTCATTAAACTATGGTTATGTGGCCCATGACTGCACTTTTAGTTGGCACATAGCGACTGTGTGTATTTATGGGGTGCAGTATGATACTTCACACTTATACAGTGTGTAATTATCAAATCCAAGCAATTGGCATTTCTGTTTTCTCAAACATTTATAATTTTTAGTCAGGCCTGATGGCATCAGCCTATAATCCTAGCACTCTGGGAGGCTGAGGCAGGAAGATGACAAATTTGAGTCCACCCTGGGAAACTGAATAACTTAGCAAGACCTTGTTTCAAAATAAAAGATAAAAATGGGCTGGGGGTGTAGCCCATTTGGAAGGCCCTGGGTATCATCTCCAACTAAGATGCCACAAAACCATAACCAAAACAAAATACCTGACAAAAGAACAAAAAGTGTTGTTTACTGTGTTGAGAGCGTTCAGAGTCTTCTGTTAGCTCTGGTGAACTGTGTCTGCCCCAGTGGTGCGTCTGTGTGCCACTGCTGTTGTTCCCGCTCCTCCACCCTCCCACGCTCCTGCCCTGGGAGCTGCTCTTCTGCTCCCCAGTGGGTGAGATCAGCTTTGTGCCATTCCCCTGCCACAGCGTCTCCCGGGTCATCTCTATGGCTACAAAGGACAGAATTCCGTTCTTTTGTGTGACTGAGTAAGGTTCTGCTGTGTGTCCTGGGGTCTCACCATCTGCTCTGTTGGCACCTGGGAAGGGACACCGCACCTTCCTCTGTGCAGTGCATGGGTTGTCTGGCTTCCCCTGGAGAGTTCTGGTGGGCAGAGGGGGCGCCTTGACCTGTCTGTCAGCACTCTTGTCTTTAGCCTGCTCTTGTTTTTGTTGAGAAGTCACCTGAAAATTTAAAAAGCAGCCAGATAAACAATAACTTTTTTTTAAAAGAACATTTACCCATTTTATTGATGCATTGCAATCGCTCTACATTTTACCATATTATGTAGAAAATACTGAAAATACAAGCTACTTTGAAAAACCAAAGACAAAAACAATACAAAGATAAACTGCTTTACAACAATGATAATATTCAAAGAACCAACAATTAGAGTTTTTTTAGATTTTGTTTTTCTGAAGTTTTGCTGTTTTGGGTCTATCTGCGCATTGAGTTAAACAGCGCTGTTTGGAATTTTTGAAATTTCTGTGAATTGATTTCTCATTAATTTTGTTTAGGTACTACCTCTTCCCC